TATATGTATGCAGGGTCGACGTAACAAATTCAAAGGAACCCCCCCATTCCTCCTCTAATCCCCAGATCTTTGTTGGTCAGGTGCCCGCCCGCATCGGAGCACCATCTTCAAAATACCGTCTGGCAAGCACCCCTACTATCAAGGCTGAACATGGGTGGGGAGGGTACCGTAGCAGAGATGGCGTCTTCCAAGTTAACCATGTGACCAATGACCGGACAGCTCTACCAGCCATATCTCTGTGGTAACATATGCCGCGACCCCAATACCCAATTACGTGTAGGTCGCTTAGCCAAAAAAAAAAAGGCTGGGGTAATTGCCGGCTCGAGCGCCCCTATTACTCCTTTCAAGGTGGCTGCATTCGTCAGATATCTCGTTGTGAAGCAGGAAAAATGAAGGCCCATTCACGTTTGCTCGATGAAGACTCGTGTGAATGCTGTACTACATGAACATTGTCTATTTAGAATCTGACGTGTTGCGACCGAGGTCGTCGCGCATGTATATAAATGGAAGCAGATCGGCGTCATCTCTCTGCGCTGTACGCGATGCAGCCAGTCAACTGGCATGCTGGGAGGCCCTTGACGCTTGATCATTTGCAGTTGTATTTACAAAGAGTGAGACGCGTCAATGTCGACGTCTATAATTAACCTGTTTCGGCAAGCCCAAGCCCTCTATGCAAGATACCCAATAAAGCTATCGACATAAGCATGTTCCATGCTAAGATTGATGCCGAGACCGAGGTCGATTTCGCCAGAGCAGATGGGCGCTAATCGCCCTACGTTAGAACCTCTTGGCATCCGGAGAGGCCGCGGACCAACAGTGGTTGATCAGAGCTTGGCGCAGCTAGGGGTTTTGATGTCGAATATCGACCCAGAACAGACCACAAGACATGTGTACACCTCCTCTCCCAGGGTTTAGAACTTTAGCTTATTACCACTCCCCCATAATGCTTCGGTATTTTACTACTTACTATATTTGGGTGTTCGTCAGGTAATTAGGCCCTTGCGCACAGAAACCTGCTACGTCAAGGTACCGAAGACCCTGCACCAATTGTATATAGTCCAATTGCACGCCAATATTTTAAATCCTGGAAGAGATGTAATGTAGCCCGAGTGGGATGGATGCAGCGTCTTCTTCCACAATCGGCGATCAAAATCGAATACAAGTCATGTATTGTGGACGAACTACGGTGTAATTCCGGTGCACATCAAGGAGGAATGTCGCTATTTAAACACTCCACGTGGATGTTGGCCTTGGCAGCCGCCATTTGGGGTTCAACAGACCGAATTCCTCCGGCTTATGTGACTTTATTATAGTCGCCAGCGAACGAAGCCGCCCAACCGAGCTTGCGAGCATTCGGAATACACACACCTGGACGGAAACCCCTTCTGCTTATGGTCCAAGGTAGCCAGCCCCCCGGAGGTTGTTCCAGCTCACCCACCACACAGCTCCCGACCAGCTTCTGCCCGCATTGCCCAAACAAGCGGAACATGCAACATCCGTAGTGCCTGGTGCTCGACTCCTGTTGACAAAATATAGGAATTCGTGCACGTTGTTTGTAGTACTCGTTTTCTCCCGGCAGGCTAGAATAAAGTGCTTAGTAAAGGGCATCAATGATCCTTGTGTTAGGCGAATGCCACCGCCGATGCCAGCCTTGCCAGTGTCCATCTGTCCATACGCAGCCAAACACGCACAAGAGGGTAGGGTAGTGGCAATCCTGACGCTTAAGATAGCAAATGCTGTGAAAAGGCAATTTGAAGATATATGACAGAACAGGCAAGGAAGGCATATAGCTGAGAGATGAAGAAGTCAAATCAAGGTAGTTTTCGCTCGCTCGCTTCCTCGCTCATATGATCAGCCCAAACGTGCGGACAGAAACGAACGTGGTGTTGTTGGCTGGAGTAGCGACTAACCTTCCCCCCATACATACAATTGGTCGAGAGCCAGTTGCTTCTCTGCTCTGCACTGCGCTGCGCCAACGACACGGGTCAGTCACATTGGAGATCAAGTGGACGAGCGACAACCTCCTTGAATGTGCATGCTCTCCGTAGTCATCCAAACCTGACCACCATGGCGGACCCAGGACATCGTTACGGCGACGCGGCCGATTACTCTGAGGTATGCGCTTTGATTTCTGATTTGCAGCCGTCCAATCTGGCCAGGACTCTCGTTTTGTCATGTCTCCATCATTTTGCACCGGCCAGGGGAGGGGGGGCAGGATCAAACTACCCGAACAGGCGGGGAGCACAGATTATCCCCAACTCTTCAGCGGTCTCTATCTGATTTTTTAAACAGACAATATCGTCGTCATCATTTGGTCAAACCATAGTTCCGGCGTATGATGCAAGTTACGCCGGAGGAGGTGTTGTACAGCAAGATGCATACTCGACGGCCTCGGCATCATATCATGGTCTCGAGGCCGTACAAGGATCCGCCGCCTCCTTCTCCCATCAGGGCCACCATGGCGGCCCGGCGTACGGGTCTGGTGGCGCATACTATCCGACAAGCAATTGGAACTCGAATGTCTCTCATTCAACGACAACTGGCGGCTCCTATGCCTTTTCGTACCAAGGCAATGCCGCCCCAGCCGCCAACAGTTACGACAACCCCAACACGGCGGACCCGTATGGCAGCCACCCGTACAATCAAAGCCAACCCCATCAACACCATCATGGCGACTACTCCTCCATGACAGCCCCAGCACTATACCCCATCGACAGCTCAATCGACCACTCGCCAGGCTTGGACCCAAACGCAACACGGCCAAGCTCCATCGAGCAGCACCACCACAACAAGAAATCCAAAGACCCTTCGTCCCGCAAGATGTCGACTACGACAACATCGTCCACAAAGAAATCCAAACACTACCCCCTTCCCCACAGCGGCCTATCAGCCGCTTCTTCAGGTGGCTCCGCAGGACCCAACAAATCCAAGCTGCGCAGCGCGAGCCGCACGTCCAAGAACACGCATCACAACCCGCCCGCCACGGACGAGGAGCGCAAGAACCGCGAGTCACACAACAATGTCGAGAAGCAGTACCGGAATCGGCTGAATGCGCATTTTGAGAACCTTTTGAATGCCTTGCCGGAGACGATGCGGAAGGGGGAGAGTGGGGATGGCGATGAAAATGACGGGATGGGAGGAATGGACGGGGGAGGGGGAGCGGGATTGGATGCGAGGGATAAAAAGGTTAGCAAGGCCGAAGTGTTAGACATGGCCAGGAGGCATATTTATGCTTTGGAACGGGAGTGCTTGGTGCTAGAGGGCGAGAGGGACGAGTTGAAGGGGAATGTCCAGAGGTTACAGTGGCTGTTTAGTCAGTGCCAAGGAGGTGAGGATTCCGAGGGGAGGGAGTCGAAGGGGGCTGGGAGGGAGTCGAAGGGGGCTGGGAGGGGAGGGCGACGTTGAGATATTGAAGTTGTTGACAATGTTGACACCGATGCCTACGACGAGTTGACGATGATGTGTGGACTATGGTAATGAATGGATATAACTGGGCAACGAGGCCGACTTAGAAATTAGTTGCCGGCATAATTATTTCTCTTCTTATTTTAGCCCTTTATTTTGTTTTCGTTAGGTTAAGGGAGTTGATGAGTTTCTTCATCCGGTCTGGTCTGGTCTGGTCTTGGTGGATCTCTAATGGTTAAAATGTTCGCGAAAGAGGTTCATGGCTGCCCCGTTACGGGCTCGGCGGCGCCCCCTATCTGTTCTCCGACATAGACGTAATGTCTAAGTACTTATTATCAGCGGCGAAATTATTCCGAGCCGTAGCTGGGATAAACCCTTTTTCTCTTACGGAAGTCCGACTTGGTTAATTGGCTGGTTACTCAAGTACTTAGACGCCCGGGTTGTGAGTTCCCATTCAGTGGAAATAGGTAGTTAATGCTAAGGAAGGCACCAGATTGCGAAGCAAGTAGTGCCATTTTCATTGGGATAGATATGAATGACCCGAATGGTAAATATACAGATGCGAAGGCGGACTGTTTTTGTATATGTATGTAAGCCCTGAGGCTGCTTGGTCGTACGACTTGACTCCCTCGCCAAGCACGTTTCTTGGGTAACACAACATATAATCAATCTCAAACTCGGTAACTCGGTGACATACAAGCCTCCTGGCCTGTTTCTATACAATTCGAGCTAAAAGTCTCACCCGAACATGAGCTACGAGAACAATGCATATTGGGTACTTGCAGAAGGTATGTATATAAGGTGGAGCCCGAAGCCCCTTTCCTAAATAGCCCTTAGGGACAGCAATGGTTACTCTCCATGTATTTGATCAAGACTCTGGAATACCCTATAACAAGTCAGCGAAAACACCGCATCGACGCTGCATGTAGCACCTGGTATAGTTGTGAGTGGCTGCTACTGCATGGAGTTTATGTAGGACGAACATTCTCTCGCAATTGCGTATGCTAGGTCCAAGTCCTCGCGGTCGCTTGGTGTAGCGGGGCAAACGAGGCTCTGTCCGGGGTCGCTCTGAACGGACTTCGACGGCCGCTGATCGTTAGCATGTGCACTTTGTTGTTACACATTAACTTGCTTCGTCGTGTAACAGCTAGCAGCTGCTCTTTGTCAGGCAGAATACTACTACATAGCTGCTCTGTGATGAATTCGCGAAATAACTAGGGTTCTATAGCCCGGGGGCATGTTGGGGCGGCGGCCCAAAGGTTTGCCAGCTTCGACATGCTGATCTTCGTGGGCAGGAAGGAAATCAAGTTATCCATTTTGCCAGTCATGTCGGCGTCCTTCACTGTGAATAGATTCTCTTCGCTGTAAATGAGGTAAGGCTACATATATAACAACACACCACAAATAAGTCGGGGTATTAGTACAAAAGTCCGAAAAGGCAACACCGTACCGCCGCCCAGGAGTCCAAATGCTTCGAAACGCCAACTCCTATCCAATGCAATACGATCCCAACCAATCAACCAATAAATCGACAATCGAATCTTGTAGTAAAAGCAAAATTGGTCATTTGCTCATTTACTCTCCCCCTCATGCTCCTATGGTTCCGTCCTCCGTTCCTCCCTCTCATCAGATCCACTTCCAATCCCGCTGCCGCTCGAAAGGCCACTCTCCTGGCTGCCGTTGTAGACCAAGCCCGTCTCCGGATTCGTGTTGCGCCGCCGCCGCTTCTTGCCGAAGAGCCCCCCCAGCGTGTTACTAAAACTTCGGGCACGACCCTTCAAGCCCCTATGCTCGCCGGACCCGGCATCTTCAGCCTCGGTGTCTGGCTCCGCGATCCGGTGTAACAGAGGGTCGCTGTGGTTGAAATCTTCACCGCAGTCTTGCGAAACGAAGAGGCTCGACCGGATACTGGGTCTCGTGCGCTGTAGCGACTTTCTACGCGGTATGGGACTGTCCTCGCCCCTGAGTAGGGCGTCAGATACAACGGCGCTCACGGTTGATGAGAGTGGGGACGGCGAGATGAAGGTGTTGTTGAAGTGATGGATGTGCGGGCGTGTTGATGAGAAGGATTGCCGAGGCGTTGTCGGCTGGCGCGGAGATGGTGGCTCGATGATTGGTGGGGGGAGGCTGGTGGTAGATGGGATATGGTCCGTATTGGCCGATGTCACCGAGTGCATTGTGACGACACTATGGTCAGAAAAAGTCGGTAGTAGACCTGGGTGTGGCGGGCGTTCATCTGTCGAGTTCCTCCATGGATTACTGAGCATTGGCGATGACTCGGTTGGTGTGTGCACAGGTGATTTCAACGTTGCAGTATCAGGTCTGCGGAATGATAAAAGCCCCGAATTGCGTTGGACGCTCAGGGGTCGTACTGGGTCGGCGAAACTAATGCGTGATGCATGAGACGAGCGCCGTGAGGACCGGATTGAGCCCGATTGTTGCTGATATTCGACTGGTTTCCCTCCTTGGGAGCCGGGCGTTTCCTGATCCCTCAGACCTATGGTCTCTTCTACACCCTCGTCATCTGACAGCTCGTCCGCTTCATCGCGAGGCTGCCGGCCGCTGGTGATGAGAAACACGCCGAAGAAGGTGAGCAGGCAACCACCAACAAATTTGATGGCTTGCTCGGTATTTGTGCGCTCGAAATCTCCATACAGAACCGCGCTGCCAATAATTACAGACAAGGTGAATAGTACAAACTGGACCGGGATTACTTGGGTGGAATCGAATCTTTGGAGCGCCTTGTTCACGTAGCGGACTTGCATAATAGCAGTACCTAGTAGGATGGCGACAAGAACGTACGTCACCGGTGTTGTGAAGGCGCGCCAAAGAGTGGCCGAAAGCATCGAGGACACACCCTTGGTTGTCAGAGCTGTGTAGCCGCCTGGGAAGTGTCAGCGGTTCGTCATGACAAATACTATGACTAGATCAAGACTTACCAAATAATCCAACCAGACCGATATCGATGAGTATCGTTCGGTGGCCGTATCGGGGGCTAGCCCACATCAGAATAATTATGAAGGCAATGGTGGCGCCCAGGTAGACCTCAAACGCGGTAGTTGTAATGGCATCCCAAACGTCGTGGGGTTCCAGTTTTGTCTCCTCTTGTTTGGCGCTCAGCACAACCGTCACAGCGCCAGCAACGGCAATGATAACGCCCCAGAAGTCTCTTTTGCGGAAGCGCTCGCCGAAGAACAATGGTGCAATAACGCAGTTTGATATCAAGGCAACGACCCCCAAAGGAGACACGATGGAGGCTGGTGCAAAGCCGTAGGCCAAGAAGTTGCCCATTTCACCCACCGTCATTAGAAATTGACCCAGCCACCAAGACGGTGACTTTAAGTAGTTGGATGAGACCTTGAAGTCGTCTTCGGAGCCTTCTGTGCATCCGGAATCGCTTGATTGGAATGATGGGTTGAGGGGTCGTGACTCGGGCGCATTGTCGTCATCGTCGAGTCCGTCTCCGCGGTAAGCTTCGGAGGATACACCAAGTGATCCATAGCTATTACGACCGTCATTGTGCTGTAACCTCCTCGTGGCCTCTTTCGCACGCTCTCTGGCTTCGTTGCGCCTCTTGTGCAGCTGAACATGCGAGTATCGTTGGACGTTGAGCGCCAGAGCGATCAGGACATTGCCGACGATGGCAGTAATGATGCCTATAAGCGAACTCCATTGTCCAATCTTCGAGTCTTCCCCATCTCCATTTCCGTTCCCAACCCCGAGGGTCCAACCTGGCCACTCTGTATCGATGTTGTCCGGGAGGGCTGGCATTGTGTCGTGCTCGAAGACGAGGAACCGAGGTTTTTCAACTTGTCGCCCGAGCCAAATGATATCGCCTCTGGATGCAGAAACTCGCGCTTCCGACGACGGTACTTGGAAAATGCAAGGCAACTAGACTCGTCCTATAGTACAGGCAACGACCGCTCGAAGCGGACGTGCACTAGATGGACTGAACAACAGAGGGCTTTTCTGTCTCGCGATCGCATTGGAAGCTCTGGTGGAGTCTAGCCTGGCAGATAAGGCCAAGAACAATGCAATCGTCTATGTATTTATTTACCAGGACTGCAAAAAATAGTGTACAACGAAGACGAGATTCCGGTCTGAAAAAAGAGTCGATACGGGAAGACAGGGGATTGTTAAGACCCTGCCACAATTATGGAGGAGTTTCGGATGTCTTTTGGAGAGATCTGAGCACGCCAAGCTGCTTGTGAAGTGCAGGGTACGCTGCGTCATAACCCCTTGCTACCTGTTCAACCGTTGACGTTCGTTCCACATGCAATGCATTAGTCAATGGAAGGTGGCGCTGACTGGCACTGGCTTCTAAAGTTCGTACATCACTCAGCCTTGCGAGTGACAACCACGATACTTTTCCCTCGAACAACCATTTCTCAATAAACTGGTGCCACGTTCCACACAATGAGCGACGATGATCTGCAGGTCGAAGGACCAGACTTGGCCGAGGACGATCCCATGCGCGCATTTTTGCCAACCTCATTTGGCAAGAAATCCCGGGAGGCTGACATAGCCGCTCAGTTTGACCGCAGCAAAAGAGCTGCAGACAAACCGCCGACGGGGTCAAATTCGAACGGTGAAAGCGACAGCGATCATGACTCGGACGATTCTGACGCTGAATCGGATGGAGATGACTATCCCACCTCGCACGAGATGGTCATCAAGACCCACGACCGCGCAATCACTTCCGTGTCCCTAGATCCGGCAGGTGGCCGATTGATATCGGGCTCTATCGACAGCACCATTAAGTTCCACGACTTCTCATCCATGACTCCCACTACAATTCGATCGTTCCGAAGCGTTGATCCTTACGAAACCAAAGCCTCCACGGCTGGCAACGAGACGCACCCAATCCACCATGTGGAATTCAATCCACTAGCCGGAAGCATGTTTCTCTGTGTGTGTGCACACCCTCAGGCTAGGATCATGTCTCGCGATGGTGACATGATTACGGAGTTTGTCAAAGGCGACATGTATCTCCGGGATATGAACAATACGAAGGGTCATATTTCCGAAATTACGACCGGGACATGGCACCCTACAGATAAGAACGTCTGCGTAACGGCTGGTACGGATAGCACATTGCGGATATGGGACATCAACAACAAGCGGAGTCAAAGGGAAGTGCTGGTCTTCAAGTCGAAAGCTTTAGGAGTTGCAGGAAGATCGAGAATGACAGCGGTAGCTTGGGGAACACCAATGCAAGGGGGCAACAACGTTCTGGTATCAGCGGCTCTTGACGGCACGCTGGTCATGTGGAGCGGAAATGGCCCGTGGTCAAGGCCTGCGGCAGAAATCAGAGATGCGCACACGCCGAACACTTGGACTGGCGGAATCGATATCAGCTCAGACGGGCGCATGGTTGTGACACGAGGCGGCGACAGTTTGATCAAACTATGGGATACTCGCAAGTTCAAGGAACCCCTTGTGACCGTGGAGCATCCATCAACGTCGGATCACTACCCTATGACCAACATCAAGTACGCGCCGAACTCGACGAGCATTATCACGGGATCATCCACCGGGCATCTGCACATATTGAACCCGGGAAATCTGCAATCTGAGTACACGACGCCCGTCACCCCTGGATCGCCCCTCATCACCGTGGATTGGCACCCAAAAATCAATCAAATCATCACAGGATCCGCAAACGCCGAAACTCACATACTCTACAACCCCACAATGTCGACTCGTGGTGCGGTGGATGTCATGTCGCGCGCCCCCAAGCGGCGGCATGTCGACGACAACCCCGAGTTCACGACTGATCAGTCGCTGGGTCTCTCGGGCGATTCCATCATTACCCCCGGCGTAATGCCAGGCTCCAGAAAGGCAGGCGTCACCGCCTCAGGCAGGTCTAAAGATCCCAGAAGGCCACAGGTGCAGCAGGTGACTCCATTCATGCGTAGTCAACCAGATGAGAAGCACATCAGCGAGAACATCCCACTGAGTCGAATGCTACACGAGGACCCGAGAGAAGCACTGCTCAAATACGCGGATGTTGCCAACAAGGACCCCATGTTCACGAATGCGTGGAAGACCACGCAACCTGTGACACAGTACGCTAACGTGAGTGACGAGGAGGAAGAACAAGGGCCGGATAAGAAAAAGCTGAAAAGGTGAGAAACGAAGGCTGATACCGACTGGAATAAGTGGCCTGAGTGAGTCTGGGTAGTTACTATCAATCCGGTTGGCTGGGTCACTGCGGTGTTGACATGATTGGACTCAACTTGCTGTCATGGCTTGGAGATCCTGGCTGCGGCGCCACAAGCTCGTGGAATCCTCCCATAACCCTGGCCAGCACATCTCCCAAATTATTTCGAGAGCGACTCTCGACGTCAAACTGACAACTGCCTGCTAAGGTTCTCACTGGAGCACCATGCAAGTCACAATGAAGAGTGGTCGTTTCCTAACGAAATATACGGCATGTGGTCTTGATGAATAGTAGTATGCGATCCCAGAATAGCAAGCCACCAGAGACAGAGCAGAGAACCTCAAGGTACTACTTTTTTTGGCGGAGATGGCGGCCCATTGCTCAAGCTTGCGTCAACAGCCCAAGTGAGTGCTTACCTCAACGGTAAAAACAAAATAAAGAAACCGCCAGATTCTGAAAATTATAGCCAAATCTAAGAGACATTGTAGCGGCTTTGTGGATCGTTTGGATAACCTCAGGTTCACTGACAGTCGTTGATACCACCAATAATACCAAATGTACGTACTTGGTAGAATAGTGGGACGATGCTGGAGCAGGATAAACAGTAGGACCGAGCTCCGAAGGTAGTCTGTGCGTCACATCCGTGCTTTCCCTCATTGTACTCCACTAGCAATCATTGAAAAAAGCAAGCGTGAATTGCCTATGAGCTGTATTGGTTTATGGTTATTCGATACAAAGCTTTGCGAACTACCTGGAAAGCGTGACCAAAATTCCACTAGCGCGCAGCTTTTGTCCCAGCGCTCGCTCTTGCCTGCGCTTCATCAAACTGAGTGTCGTCTCTTTTGAAGTCCACCCAGACGCCATCAATCGCGATCAAAATTCGAGCCGCAACCACCCATCCCCCCCTCTAAAACCATCAATGTCCATCGGGAAAGGGCAGTAACTTTCGTTTTACGCGATTTTCTCGCGCAACCGGGCCCGGCTGCACCACCTTTTTACGTGCCACTGGCCAACCACCGCCATACCTGTAGTTTTTGACAACAGCCTACTGCGACCGCGGTTTTGCGATCAACCCCCTTCGAACTTTCCCCACAGCGCGCCGAGTGTACCAACTGCAACTCGACTGTCCTGTCGCAACCAGATACCCGCGGAAGTTTTTGATGATAGCTCCCTGCTGGACAATCTGACGATCAACAACCAACCCACTCTCCGATAATCAATCAACCTCCGCTCCGTGCCCGGCCAACCAACATCCATCCCTCCCCATATACCAAATAGGCCGGCGCATCACCCTCAGCTTGCAGCACATTTGCGACGCGACTTACCTCGCACCACATCCCCTTTTGCCTTCCACCACCCCGAGGCAACTTCCACGTCCCACCACGAGAGTAGCCCAGCTCTTGGCACAGCTTGGATACAAAAGTCCTACGATCATCCCCATTGATTTGGCCTTTCGTGGACCAGTAGGGTGCTTTAATATGAGCTGTTTGTAAACAGGCCTCCGGAGAAGCACGTACAAGAGCCATATATTACTGGGAGTTCGTAAGAGTGGTACAGGGACACGCGCAACCGACATGGCGACGGTTCAAGCACCTGCAGTGCAGCACCCAGGTCCTTCCCCTAACATGCCTCAGCAGATGAATGGTCAACACATCAGGGAGATGTTTCTGGTAAGTAATGTCTCCTGTCCCTAGTATTGACGGATCCCATTTCGGCCATGCTTTTCCCCCTTAGCCTATCAGCCAGAAACACTTACTTACTATGCGTTCATAGAAACTTAAACAAATGCAGGAGCAAGGTGTACCAAAGACGGACCCCGAGTTCATGAAGTTGAATCAGTTTTTGGTCAACATCCAACAACAACACCAGATGCAGAATCATTTTCGTCATCAGCAGCAAGCACAGATGCAACAGAAGCAGCATATGGGTCAGAACACTCCCAACGGACAACCCAACGGAGCTTCACCTGCTGTCTCTCAGAGCTCCCAGCCGCCATCTTCTACTGCGGTGACCACTTCTGGTCTGCCATCTACATCAGGTCCCATGGCTCAGCCGAATGTTTCATCGCCATCAACGACGGGTCCGGCCAGTCAGTTTAGTCAACAGCAACTAGGGCTACTGAGACAGCAGATCCAGGCATTCAAGCTGATAACAAAAAATGCCGGTGTTCCTTACCCCATGCAACAAGCTCTGAATGCGCAGCGTCAGCGGAGACAAGCTGTTGCAGAGCAGTCTACCCAACCCCCACCAGTTTCTACTGCTGCCGCGGCTGCTGCAACGCCATCAGCTGTAGGTTCTGTCAAGGCTGTCTCTGTTGGCCCTGATGGCACCGTAGAGACTGAAGCATCTTCAGCCCCTAAGGGACGAACATATAAGACAGTCAAGTCGCCTTACGAAAGTGGCCTCGTCCACAAGGACATCGGGTACTACGACCACAGCCAGCGAAAACATCGCCTTATTGTTCCCAGTGTATTCCCCACCGGCGTTGATTTTGAGCAGTTGAGGCACGAGCGCGAGATCATTATATTCAACCGGATGAAGGCGAGGTACGCGGAGCTGAAAGCTGTGCCTGGCAATATTGCTCACTGGGATATGACCAAAGATGCTATTGAGGCAGACGATACCGTCAAGCGCAAGGCCATCATTGAGCTGAAGTCTTTGGGTTTGTATGCCAAGCAGCGGGCATTGCGGGAAAAGATTGGACGGCAGATGATGCACTACGATAATCTTGCTATGACCACGAACCGGAGCATGTATCGTCGGTCCAAGAAGCAGAATGTTCGCGAGGCTCGTATCACGGAGAAACTCGAGAAACAACAGCGGGATGCTCGTGAGCACCGCGAAAAGAAGAAGCACACCGACTTCCTCCAGTCTGTTCAACACCACAAATCGGAGATCCTCAACTTTGCTCTTTCTGCTCGCAGCAAGATGGCCAAGATTGGTCGCGCCATGTACGCGCACCACTTCAACATAGAGAAAGAAGAGCAGAAACGCATTGAGCGAACTGCCAAGCAACGTCTGCAAGCCTTAAAGGCCAACGATGAAGAGGCCTACCTTAAGCTACTCGACCAGGCGAAGGATACACGTATCACACACCTTCTCAAGCAAACCGATGGCTTCTTGCACCAGCTTGCTTCCTCCGTCAAGGCGCAACAACGGCAAGCTGCCCAGTTGCATGGACAGGAGGAAGACTTCCCCGAGGAAGAGAGCGAAGTTGAGGAGGAAGGCGAGAGCGGTCGCAAGATTGATTACTATGCAGTCGCTCACCGTGTTAAGGAAGAAGTCACTGAGCAGGCCAACATGCTGGTCGGCGGTAACCTCAAAGAGTACCAGATCAAGGGTCTGCAATGGATGTTGTCGCTCTACAACAACAACCTTAATGGTATCCTCGCCGATGAAATGGGTCTCGGCAAGACCATTCAAACCATCAGCTTGATCACGTACTTGATTGAGAGGAAGCAGCAGAATGGTCCTTACCTCGTCATTGTGCCCTTGAGTACCTTGACTAATTGGAACCTCGAGTTTGATAAGTGGGCTCCGTCTGTCACCAAAGTAGTCTACAAGGGACCCCCGAACACCCGAAAACTGCAACAAGAAAAGATCCGACAAGGCAGATTCCAGGTTCTGCTCACGACGTACGAGTACATCATCAAGGACCGCCCCATTTTGAGTAAGATCAAATGGTTCCACATGATTATCGACGAAGGTCATCGCATGAAGAACACGAACTCTAAACTAAGCGCCACCATCTCGCAGTACTACAGCACTCGATTCCGTCTCATTCTTACTGGTACTCCTCTCCAGAACAACTTGGGCGAACTGTGGGCTATGCTAAATTTCGTTCTCCCCAACATCTTCAAGTCCGTCAAGACGTTCGATGAATGGTTCAACACGCCTTTTGCCAACACCGGTAGCCAGGACAAGATGGAATTGAACGAAGAAGAGCAAATCCTCGTCATTCGTCGTCTTCACAAGGTGTTGCGACCATTTCTACTGCGTCGTCTCAAGAAGGACGTCGAGAAAGACTTGCCCGACAAGACCGAAAAGGTCATCAAGTGCAAGTTCTCTGCTCTGCAACAACGTCTATACAAGCAAATGGTTACGCACCAGAAAATCGCTGTCAGCGATGCCAAAGGCAACAAGGTAGCATCGCGTGGTCTCAGCAACATGATCATGCAGCTCCGGAAGTTGTGTAACCATCCATTTGTGTTTGACGAAGTCGAGAATCAGATGAACCCCATGAGCACAAGTAACGATTTGCTGTGGAGAACGTCCGGAAAGTTCGAGCTTCTTGACCGGGTTCTACCAAAGTACAAAGCAAGTGGGCATCGCGTTCTTATGTTTTTCCAAATGACCGCAATTATGGACATTATGGAGGATTACCTCCGATTCCGAGGCCTCAAGTATCTCCGCCTGGATGGTACTACCAAATCAGAGGATAGATCAGACTTGTTGAGGGTCTTCAACGCACCCAACTCGGATTACTTCATGTTCCTGCTCTCCACCCGTGCCGGTGGTCTGGGTCTCAACCTGCAAACCGCCGATACCGTCATCATATACGACTCGGACTGGAATCCTCATCAGGATTTGCAAGCACAAGATCGTGCTCATCGTATCGGGCAAAAGAACGAGGTCCGCATCTTGCGACTCATCAGCTCAAATTCCGTGGAGGAGAAGATCCTGGAGCGAGCGAGATATAAACTCGACATGGACGGCAAGGTCATCCAGGCTGGTCGATTCGACAACAAGTCGTCGGAAACGGATCGTGACGCCATGTTGCGTACTCTCCTGGAAAGCGCTGATATGGCCGAATCTGGCGATCAGGATGAGATGGACGATGAGGAACTGAACTTGATGCTCGCCCGAAATGACGACGAAGTTCTTCTCTTCCAGAAGCTGGACGAAGAGCGCGCCAAGGACCCGACGTACGGTTCTGCACCTGGAAGCAAGCGCATCCCCCGTCTCATGGCAGAAAGTGAACTTCCTGAGCTTTACATGTCCGAAGGTAATCCTATGCCTGAAGTCGAGGAGGAAGTTCTCGGTCGTGGTGCCCGTGAGCGTACCCGAGTCAAGTACGACGATGGCTTGACCGAGGAGCAATGGCTTATGGCTGTTGACGACGACGACGACTCCCCTGAAGCTGCGGCGGCCCGAAAGCAGGCTAGGAAGGACAGGCGCGAACAAAACCGGCTGAAGCGAATAGCGGCCGGCGGCTCTGATGTAAACTCGCCGATGGCTAGCAGAGCTAGTACGGAAGAGGTTGAGACGCCTCCACCCCAGCAGCAGCCGCAGAAAAAGCGCGGTCGCAAACCTGGCAGCAAGAACGAAAAGCGCAAGGTCGAAGACGAAGATGGCGAACCCCCGCTCAAGAAGCGACGTGGACCTCAAGGGCGTCCTAAAGCCGTAGCAGCAAATGGTGGTGGCTCAAGTCTCGCCCCAGAAGTGCGCCAACTTCTGCAGAAGACCATGCGTAGCATCTTTGACGGCCTGATGTCCCTGGAAGCCGATGATCCAGAGCCCGAAGACAAGGATGACGATGATGAGGACGATGAGCCAGCAAAACGTCTCATCATTGGACCATTTGTCAAGCTTCCCTCGAAGCGAGACTACAGTGATTATTACCTCCTCATCCAAAATCCCATCTGCATGAACCAAATCCAGACCAAGATCAAGAAAGAGGAGTATAACAGCCTTAACGACATGCGGAAGGACATTATGTTGATGTGTGGGAACTGCAAGACCTACAACGAGGATGGCAGTCTACTGTATGCGGATGCCATTGTCATGGAGGTAAGTCACAGTTGACGTTCAAGTTTGTAGTAGCGACTAACAGATGAACAGAACTTCTTCAACGCGAGGGCTCAAAAGGCGCTCAACGATCACCCAGAGCTGGCTGAGCTTGAAGATCCATCCGCCAAGGACAGTAGTGCGGTGCCAACTACGAGTGCAGGAACTCCTCAGCCGGCAGCCAATACAACCAGGATCAGGCTAGTGACTAATGGTAGCAGCCAAGCCAACGGTGGCCCGAGCAGCACTCAGGGTGACGGCGAATGAGACAGTAAGTCGAGTTGAGGTCGGCGGCAACCGTTCTAGCATTGTTAGACCCCCAAGCATTGCGCAAAGACGGCTGGGCATGGCGTTACATGAAAATGGACTCCCACGTGAGCTGAGAAGGCTTGTTCGCGGAAGTCAGGTCATTTTAGACATTTGGGATTGTGTACCCTCATGCAATAGCATGGATGACCCCATTTCTATTTAGGCGTTGTGGCAGATTTTTTTCTACGGGAAAGGGAAAGAGGAAACGAATTGGCACGTGTCTCGGAAGTTCTACCCAGGCCACCCAACACCAATAAGGCTAGGCTGGGCGACAAGGCAAAAGAGGAAATGCAATACCCTGGCTTTTGTGCTTTTTTTCGCATTTTATTTCCGTACCAGAAGCTCGAGTGCCTGAGGCTCGTCTCGATCAGACAGCTGGAGGTCTAGACAATAGGTGATCTGATGTAGGGAGAGGGCTGCTGATGGATGCCAAGTCGTAATGCGTACAATATATTGTATTTTTAATATAGACGTAGCGTTGAGGCAGTGGGTATGCTTCTCGTTATGACTGTATGTGTTTGAGCCTAGAGATGTGATGTGTTCAAGCGTGACATCGTAGAGGTACAATGGGTAGAGTTACTCCGATGAGTGAAGATCGCGATGTCTCTTGATGGCTCCAAAGTGGTGTATGGTGGCTTCCTGTCACGACCAAGCCTCTGATTTACAATTCGCTCCCTGGTCACTGTTTTTCATCCTTCGCATCCTTCGGCTTAGATTTACTGGCCAGGATATTCTTCATCCTGCCTGACTCACCCCCGTTCGTACTCAAAACATCTCTCTCAGCGCCATGAATCGAGCGGCCTTTCAGAATCGACGCAGGGTCTTAGTATATATTTTTTTCTTTTTTTCTTTCACAGTTTTTATCATCTCTACCAGCTCGCCTCACTCACGGAATCACGCCATTGAACCATGCCGCATCGTCTATATTAAACGAAACTGAGCATCTGCTTCCCGAATGCGGTGTTGCAACCTAGTAGCTAGTCTGTGCGCCCCTGTAAGACCCCTACCACCCGCTATACACGACATTTGAAGCAGTACAGGATCCGGCATCCGTCGGTAGGTAGGGACCTTCGAGACGGCTATCGAGCTGAACGGATGTTGCGGGAGTCCGGACGAGGTTAGCAATTTTTCAGGTACTCCTTGTCGAGCTTGGGTTTAGACTTGTCTCCTGACTGGACCCCATGAAGACGAACAAATTCTGGCTTCTGTGAAGGCGTGAATGTCAAGCTTGGAGATTCTGGGGAAGTTGATGTAATACAACTGGATCTGATGAGTTGCCACGACCCGTCTATCCTCCACGCAGACCGCGTTTTCCTGGTCACTCGCCCCACAAGTCTCGCCGCCACAGGCAATGAGATGCGAAACGGACTCTCTCCAGCACTCTCCAGCGCACCCATGATCCCTTTCCCCAACTCAACCCCTGGCCTCGGAACAATCGCCACGCCTAGTCGACGACCTACACCATATCTCAGGTAACAGAAACTAGATGTTCGTGCTGGGTGTACGCTCATCGTCAGGGACACCCACGAGCCACCGATAATGTGTATGTAGTGGAAGGTCTTGTGTCTCTGTTGGCGGACCGCGGGTGGCGGGCGGGAGGGAACGTGAAGCCCATGAGGAGCATGAGTACAAACCATAGCATCTCCATTGGCCGAGTAGTTATGAACAGACGCTGCCTGACTCGGCCTCTACTACCGGGAGCGTGGGCTGTCAATGCGGAACACTTCTTTGGAGGGGCGGAGGCGGCAGCATATTTGGCTACAAAAGTCTGGTTGCTCGTGCTAGTCACTGTTCACTAGCCCCCCTCTTTTCTAGTTTCCGTTGCTGCAGCAGATTATGAAGAGGGGAAAACGTACGTGATATTTCACTCCGTGCGCCAAACCCACTACGACCATCAAGTACGCCAGTCACTTGTGCGTAAATACCAGCGTGCTCTAGTGTAGTGCAAACACTCGTCCATGTAAACTATTCCGACTTACAGGGGTCAACAGCAACCCCAACAAGATGTCAGCATGATGCCCAACAACCCCCGAAATCGCCACCCTAACCTTCGCCCTCGACCACCGCACAGGATCTGCACTCTCGCCCTCAACCCAGCTCGCGTTGTATCCAGAACCCCGTTGTGATGAGGGTCAACCCTCGCTCCGAGCCGCACATAGAAGCCTACCGACGGTTATGCGGGACTTGAAAAAGGGGGTTGGGGATGGTGTTAGGTAGTGTTAGCTAAAGTGAAGGTGGAGGAAGAGACCTGTGCTGGCGGTGTGGAGCGGAGTTTCGTAGGGGAGAAAGGTTTTCGAGCAGAGGGGGGAATAGAAGGGAGCGTAAATTAAGCCGATAGAGAGAGTGGTTTGAGGGGAGGATTATGAGGGTGAGATGAGGCAGGCAGGTTGTTTCATCATGGCCAAGAGCGGATTTGAATATGTTCTTCAGGATATAACAACAAACAGTGTGCTCATTCATTGCTGAGTTGCGATCCCGCTGTAGAAAGAAACAATGTCGACCGCCGCCGACAACGTTGAATAGGCTGCCTCCCCTGAAATCGAGCATATAATACGGGAACCACTCTGTTTTGTATTCCGCCAGTCAAAAAAGCTAGCAAAATTTGAAAGGTGCAGGCTGCTAAATAGGACTGAGATGGCGACGCTGATAGGCTGAAAGGGGCACATGTAACGGGTATAAGGGCTACATAAGTGCGGCCCGGCAGCTTGACATTACGTCAACGATCCGGGACATCGAGACATTGGATGTGATCTAGATCAAACCAACGTGACTTCTTCAGGTCGGTTTTTTCGCCTCCGATAGTTGGCGGTTCCCGTACTCTGGGGATTTTGGCAAAATTCCAATAAACAGTTTCTGCAGGAATGCCGCAGTTAAAGCGGTCTGCCCTGTCATGTAAGTGAGCCTCTTCAAAGATGAGCGAACGTGAACTGAAATTGGGTCTGGGGAAGTGGGTTAAGAGGTGCCGAACTCTTGGGCCTAGCTATGATACCCAAAGAGACTATCGGATGACATACCTAAATATACTAGGAAGTCGGAAGTCGTAACGCCATTGCTAGGAATGGCTCAGTTGAGATACTCGCTGTATGCGATCTGGATTAGCCCCTGGTCCTTGCTTGGCACTTGTACAACAACTACTACTATACGACGTACCATTGGCACGCTAAGATGCTGTGACGGTTCAATTTTGGAGCAATTGCAGTCTCAAGAGCTGTGACAGAGGCTTATCATCACTGAAGCTTGCTACCGAGGTTGGAGGTAGAGGTCTAATCTAACCTTTTCGAAGCTAGTGCAGGAAGTCTTAGGCTCATAGGGTTATAAATTTATTTCAGAATATTGATAAATGCTACCTTCTGAGATTAGTAGTTGAAGTGCTACCCCGTAGCCTCCAGAACCACGGCAGTCTTTTATCACAGATTGATTGAAGAAGGCGAAGATGAAGTTGTCACTCATCGGTTTGAGGCCTAAAGTTACCCCGCCAACACATACTGCCTGTAAAAAGTGGGGCACTGGAGATCTCAGCTTCGGCTCGACCTGCACTTCGACGTCTGACGGACTTGAAGTAGCTTGTGGGAAAAAACTCTACGCCGACCTCTGCAAACCTGGTGAAGATACCGCCCAATGGAAATCGTTCAACTCCTAGAAAACAAGTTCATACTGCAAATTCAAACCCTCAGCCAAAATCGTCGTTGCTCTTTTGTTCCACTCGTCGGTGAAGGATTTCCATGGGAGTCAATTCACATACCAATTGCCAATACATGATGAGATGCATTACATTCGCCTCCTACGGTCACCCATGCTCGATACGTCGGGACGGGAAAACAGGGATGCGACGCTCTCCCTTCTGCTGACTATCACTACCGGTAAAACAAGTCTCCAAGTCCTCATTTCCCTTACTTGTCGTGCCCTAGGGGAACAGGGTCTGTGTGACGGCGGTCTCACTCCCAAAAACCTGACTTCGCTGTCCTAAGCCGAGTCATGCGTCGCAATTACTGACGCCAAGAGAGAATAGACCTTGGAGATGCCTTCCTTAATGCTGGTGCACCCGTTCAAATAACAGCCAGCATCTACAGCGGAACGTCAAAATCGCCAACTGAACTACCACTGAGATCCACTGGCAGTACCCATGTCCACACTGTTGTCGGGACCTGGCAGGATGGACTGCGTGTTCTCAAGGTCAAACTGCTTTACCCACGGCGGTACCTGAAGGAGCACGTTGACGTGGCAATTATGCCGGGCCCATTCAATGATGACAAAAGCCGCCATGTCATGCTTGATGTGAAAAACACGGGGGATGTTCTGCCTTGGTATCGGGCACCCGAGGAGAAGAATGTCGGCGGAATAGTACCTGTATGGGTGGAAATCAACCAGGGCGTGCCGTCACCAGACACCTGCCTACGCTGTTTACCGCTGGAATGTGACCGCGACGGATCTATAGCGACTCTCGAGCTGCAAGAGGACATTGGCGAGAGCATCGCGCGTCATGTCTGGGATGCCGGGGTTGTAACAGCGTTATTTTTAGCTTCAGGCTGCAAGTCAAGACGACAAGAAGTGGACATCCGGGACTTCATGCCCATTACTAATCAAAGCCCCAATATCCTGGAACTCGGTTGCGGCGTTGGCATCCTCGGAACGACTATTGCCAAGCTCATTCATTTTGCGGCCGAGAAGCAAGGCCTCAAGCTTGATCAACCGACTGTACTTCTGACGGACGTCCCAGAAGCCGAGGAGCGTGCGCGATCAAATATCGAAAGAAACAAAAAGACTTCGGATTGGCAACGCATGGCGAAGATGGAATATGAGAATCTCGATTGGGACGATGGCAAAACCGGCAAATTCGGACCCATTGCCGCCTCTCGATTCTGGGATTACATTGTTCTGAGCGATTGCACGTATAATGTCGACTCCTTACTCTCTCTCGTCGGGACGCTGTCGGCGTTGCACGACATCAACAAACGAAACGCGGGTACTGGAAACCTGGAGACGGGGTCAAAAGTCATATTAGCAACGAAACCACGGCACGACTCAGAAAAGGCGCTGTTTGAGCTACTTCCAGCTGCGGGATGGGGACATGAGCTGCTGAAGTCAATCCCACTTCCGGTGCTTGGAAGCGAAAATCAGGTTGTGGAGTTGTATTTGCTGCAGAAGGGAAGACCCCTATTGCAGAGGGCGCTCAAGCGGAAGGTCGAAGATCCCTTTAGCGAACGGCCAGCCTCAAAACGTGCGGCGCTGCCATGATAAACATGCTAGTGGTTCGCTTCTTTCCACCCCCGAGGGCATCTTCGTCGAATACTACAACACCATGATACACTGCTTCTGGGAAGTAATGTCAGGACGTCGGTGCCTTTGAGACGCTCTACACAGTGTCAGACGAACGACAGAGCCATTTCCGGATTAGCAGAAATGTGCTAACTTGATATCACGATTGTTCCACTATATACAGGCCAGATCCAACGTAGTGTATAACAGCCAGCATCAATAGTCGAGATCGCATAATGCAACTCCGCTGGGGTTGCGTAAACTCACCCTTCTCATTGCTCTACTCCGTACGTATCCAAGCCCCCGCATCTTCTCAGTAACCCGGTGGAGAAGTGATGGCGAAGATCTGGAGATCGGGCAACAGCGATCAGATAATTTCAAAGATCTCCTTTCCAATGAGGCTGAGGACGATATGCGTTTACCAGAAACCGGCACTGAGTCGTCATCGGCTCCACTCGAGGTCCTATCCCCTTTCATTCTATTTCTGTCGTCCTTGCACTCTATTCTTTTGTCCTTCCACCCTGTTTCTTCTGTCCTTCCACGGGAGACGCCAAGAGCGTTGTGGCCGGGGGAGAAAATGTTATGTAGTCATATGACGTGTATCCAAATTCCGCATCGTCGGGTCGGGTCTTCGTCCCGAGTTGGCATGGACTGGCCCAGGGCCGAGAGATGAGAATTGACGGGGGTCGCCCGGCAGTTCTGCATTACGGTACTATAGTACTGATTGACTGCTACATGTGTAGGGGGCTAACGCTTGTCGTCTCTATCTCCCGTCACAACAGCTTGGTTAGGCGATGCTAACAAATGCAGCAGGATACATGAACTACTATGTAGCTGAGTAGTCCCACGCAGCCCCAGATTGCAACCAGTCCTGGCCGACGGCAGATTCCAACTACCAAGTGGGCCACACACACACGTGCGGTTCCTGGGTTCGCTGCAGCAAATATCCTCACCGTGCTCCACTTCTTTCGGTAGGTGGGAGGAGGCCAATCCACGGCCCCTCAAGAACAGTTGATCCTCTAAAGCAATTCTTTTATGAGCGCATCAGTACTAAGCCTATCAGGATGACGCATCCAGCTGCCAATATGCGAATCGCGAAGGCTTGGCGAAGAAGCATGTACGTAGGTTGCATTTTCTGAAATTTCGTCCTTCTTCTATCTTTCCGAGATGATTACCGAGTCATTTCAGAAGGTGGCTCCGGGCTCCGCTTTCCAGAGATGTACAACCTTCCAGAACGTTGCTCACCGGTGTATAAGATGGGCCAGCTCTTCGGCGGATAGCGACAATATCACTTTCCATCGTCCATCACGACAGCCAGCACCTTACCACACATCCAAAACATCAACCTCAGAAATGCGTTTCACATCCTCTTTGATCACCCTGGCCGCGGCCTTCGGTGTCGTCCACGCTGATAGCGGCTGCCGAGTCAACATGACATCTACTCTCGCCGCGCCCGCCAACCCAGGCGAGAACATCCTCATGAGTAAGATCAGAACCAGCCACAATCGAGCTCCTTGTAGCCCGGTAGCTAACTTTGGCCCAGAAACGATGATGAAATGGCGCAACAGCACGGAGTCACAGATGTTCTCATCAGTCAGTATCCCATTCGCCCTCTCTTTTACATACTTCTTGCTTTAAAGACTACTAACATTTCCTCGCAGGACTACTGCGACTGGGACAACACCATGGCAGCCCCCTTCTCAGTCCTGTTCCTTGAAGACACCATCCCAAATTTCCTGACGCAAGAAGCACTGGAGGGTGTCTTGGATCCCTGGATCGGCACATGGCTCATCTCGGACTCGACGACGGCGTCGGCAGGTGTGGTGGGGGATTACCAGATCACGGCCGTTACGTGCTCTTAAAAGACGGGGATGCATGGATGGCATTGGCGGCAGGTGCGGTGGGTGATTATCAGATCACGGCCGTTACGTGCTCTTAGAAGGCGGGGGTGCATGGATGGCAATGACGGCAGGTGTGGCGGGTGATTGTCAGATCACGGCCGTTACGTGCTCTTAGAAGGCGGGGATGCACGGATGGAATTGGCGGCAGGATACGAGGAAATGACGGGTCAGCACGCTAAAGCAAACAGCTGCTTTGCAATGGCCGATTCTGGTTGCGGGGTTACGAGACCTATTATTCTACCTTGGTCCTACGGGATTCAGTTGATACCCTTTTACATTTATTCAAACCCTTACTTGGACTTGGTGTCTTTGCTACTACATACATGATTATTGCTTGACCTCGGGATGTTCACTGCTAATCAGCAACTCGGTCGACAGCACCTATCATTGTAGTGTGTGATCTTTCCAGAGAGAGTTTGGACATTCATCACACATCATATGACCACTACCAGCAATCTGACGAACAAAAAACCTACAACATCAACAGAGCAAGCAGGTATTACTCCAGGATTTTCCGATGCCGGAAGTAGCCTCTTGTGAAGTGACGGTGAAGGTGGCTGGAAGGAACGCCATCGACATACCACCCCTCTCGGTTTGTCCCGTCTTCTGCCCGTCCTTGAGAAGGGATATTCCATATTGTAGAGCCTGTATTGATCCATAATGGTACCGATTCACATTTTATGTAAGCGGTCAGACATCTGGTGGTCCCACTTTCAAGACAAGACAGGGGTCGATCTGATCAATGAGATAAGTCGATTAGCCGCCGCGGAAACTGTCTTGTCCCAACATACTACACCACTTGCACGCAGAAATCAACAGCTCCGACTTGTCTTACTTTAGAGGAAAAACGCACACATCGCGTTGTGTCGTCTGACCGAAACTCCGCTCAAAGGATAACATCATCATCCTTGTTCACCGAATCCAACAGGAAGCTAGAGCAGCATCTCCACTATAGCTGCAACCTAAAAGTCACCGCACCTCGACCACCTCTTACGACGCCGGCATGTCGGTCGGCTCCATCTAGGCGTGCCTCCCCAGTATGTACTTCTCGTCTCGCTAGCATTCGATTAGGCAGTAGCAGGCGGCCTGGGAAACTCCAGCCGATCCGCAAAGGCCGGGTATCCCGGGGTCTCTCGGTTTGCTGGATATACGCTGGAATCGGACCTTGTGGAGGGCGACACAACTTCAGTGGCTCCCGGGGATATACGGAGGTGGATATGAGAACGTGTTATGGCTACTTGGAACATTACCCAGTAACGCGTGTCGTCAGACTGGATACCTGAAAGCATACCTCTTCCCAATGACGGTGGAAGTCAATTACAACTTGCCACGTGCGGTTTTCTCGAGTCTGCAACGTGGACGTAGGGCAGGTAAGAGGGTAAACGCTGACGGCGTGGCCGTAAATGGAAAGCTCGGCCTAGCTCATAGAGACAGGGAGATGGGCAAGAGACAAGAGACAAGGGGGAACGCGTAGGAGCACTATGGCGAGGGCTTTCGTAACAACTGCTAATTGGAAACGCTCAATCCTAGAGCACAATTCGGCGTCAGGTCCATGATGATTTGAAAATGTGTCGTTCACACATCGCAATGCTTGTTCTGGAGGTCAAGTTCTTACCTTTAGACGGCTTACCCCTTATTTTGCACCATGTCATGTCATTATGCATAGTTCTTTTTAACCTTGACTGGGTCAAACCGAAGTCGCGACACATCGAGGACGCCCACCATGCATGTACAAATGCCATGCTGCCACCAACGACACCTACGAACGCCACGAGTGCGTACTAAATAACTCTAGTAGCTCCTCGGAAGCCCCAGCACCTTCTCCCCGACATAGTTCATAATCATTTCCCTACTGACCGGCGCAATCCTCGGGACCAGACTCTCCCTCAACCACCTCTCCACATCATACTCAACCGCATACCCCATGCCGCCCAGAGTCATGACCGCCCTCTCGCACGCCCTGAATGCCGCCTCGGCCGCCAGGTACTTGGCACTGTTGGCCGCGACCCCAATCGCATGCTGCCGGACCTTCTTTTCCTCTTTAGAAGCATCGTTATTACTATTGTTTTCGTCATCATACAGCCTCGCCGCATGATAGGCAGCCAGCTTGGCCGCCTCGAGCTGCATATAGGCGTCCGCTAGCGGGTGCGCAATCCCCTGGTTCATGCCAATGGGCCTCTGAAATACAACCCTCTCCCGCGCATACTCGGCCGCTTTCTTTAGAGCCGCATAGCCCAGCCCCAAAGCTTCTCCGGCAAGCAGACAGCGCTCCGCATTCATACCATGCAATATAGCTTGAAACCCCTGGTTCTCCTCACCAACAAGCATATCAGCCGGTATCTTATAATTGTCGAAGAAAACCTCATTCGCATCCACCGCCCGCCCACCCATCTTCTTAATCCTGCGCATTTCCAATCCCCGCGCCGACTCATCCAAATCAATACAAAACAGCGAAAGCCCCTCGCTTGGTTTCCTGATCTCCTCCAGCGGCGTCGTCCGCGCGAGCAACATCATCTTCCTCGCCACCTTCGCGCAAGTAATCCATATCTTCTGCCCACTCACACTATAACCCCCGCCACCATTCCCATCCTGCTTCCTAGCCACCGTCCTCAACCTCAGCGTATCAAGTCCCGTGCTCGGCTCCGTAACCCCAAAACAAGTCCTCCACTCCCCGGAAATAATTCTCGAGATCGTACCCTCAATCTGCCCCTTACTGCCGAACCTAGCCAGCGGCTGTGTGGCATACACATTCGCATGTACGGACTGCGCGCCTGCCATTCCCGCGCCGGACTCGGCGATAGTCTGCATCATCATGGTGGCCTCGGAGATGCCGAGGCCGGACCCGCCTAGTTCGGGGGGAAGGGCGATGCCGAGCCAGCCGGCTTGGGCGAGGGCGCCGTGGAAATCGGTGGGGTCTTCTTCATTTTGGTCTTTGGCCTGCCAGTAGGTGTTGGGGAATTGGGCGCAGAGCTGGGCGACGGCTGAGCGGACGGTGAGTTGGGTTTCAGTGAAGCAAGTCGTGTCCATGAGCTGAAGTCTGGATGTGGTGGAGAAGGCATTGCGCCGCTTTGGATCACTCACGAAGGGAAATTGAATGGCTGAGTGCTGGAGACAACCCCTTGAGGCAATTTCACTGGTTCGCCAAGCCGAGCGTGCTAATACACGAGACATATTGCTCTAAGCTGTTCAACACGAGGGTACTTTGCTTGTCGTGGTGAGCTTTCCCTCTTACAAGTCGCCACTCGTGAGACCTGAAGCTGTATCAATGGGTCTGAGGCATGGGTCTGAGGCATGGGTCTGAGGTTAGGTGTTGAGGGGGAATAAATAGTGCGGGGATGGATCGACCGAGGATTCGTGGGGTAAAAGGGGGAGTGCATCACTACCTAGGTTACGTAGTATTGGTGCCTACGTATAGGTAATTTCGATGATCAACACCGTGAGCATCCTTTTCAAATCCCGGTCTATTCAAATACATGGTATTATGATTTCTCGCCGTCGCTCATTAGAACTGTTCATTGAGGCCACCCTGTTTAATCGCCTACAATTTGTAGGCATTGAGCTGGCCCCACAAGCCAACAGCACAAATAGGGGTACACTAGCGGGTAGCTTGCCTCGGCTGCCCTTGCACCCGATCCCCCACCCTTCGTTTACAGCGAGCGCTCACATTGCGGTACAGGGAAACATAATTTTTGACATTAGTATTGTTGCATAAAGCTCACGAGCAATTGTTCCAGGCCAAGTGAATTCAAATCGACTTTTATATCGACGCTACCACCAGCCAGCCATACCCATCGACCAACAATCATCATTCATCGGGAAACAGGCGCTCCAGCGATTTCCCCTCAAGCTCATCATATCATATCACCGTACGGCAGTGACTGCACCCCTTGCAGCTCATATTTCCCATCAGCCCCAAACCGTCGCTCTCGAACATTCACAAGCAAGTCCCTCACCAACCCCGACACCAAACCAATCCTGGAAAGACATCACGATCGCTGGCCTTGTACATACAATGTGAAGCTCCAGCTGCATCCCAAAATCGACCATCTCGGCGCCAGAGTCAGCATAATCAAGCGCCTCGGAGCCGGCGACTGCCATCGCCCAGGACTTTGACACGCAAGTCAACGGTCGAGGTTCCCACGTTGTCTGCACAACTCGATCCAAGAAGAGCCAGTTTCTCGAACTAAAAAATCCCAGGATCAAGATCTTTAGAATATGTCGTCCGCAAAGGTGGACGTGCTCGTTTAGAACCTACCCGTCCCGGGCAACTGTCCGGCTGGACTTTTTGTCGCGATGAACATCCATGACTTATCTTGTACGGTATCTCCAAGCATGGGATAGTACCTAGTCCGTGTTGAGAGGAGGCGTATGATTTCTTGGTGCAGAGCGAGGCGGCAAACTTCCCGGGGTTTCTGACTATATTTGTGGGAGGAAGGATGAAGTTCTGGCTTTGGGCCGCCATATGAGGTCCATATGGTGCGGAACGCTGGTCGTAGACTTGGAGAAATACTGTCTGCGGATAGCAGGTATCCATCCCGTGTTTAGGTTTGATTTTTCAATGTTCGGCATTTTCGTCTGCGCGTCCGTGTCTTTCGCATCTGCCACCCTCCCCCCAATTCTATGCAGCAAATATTTCCCAAAGCTCAATGATATGTTTGTGTTCTGTCCATGTCTTAATAGCAGTCGGCCACACGGTACAGCATACAAGGGCTGCTGATAGAGTTGCCTTCAAACAAAGCGGTACAATTTGAACCTGCTACCACCATCCTACAGAGAAGCATGCGACTTGTTCTCATCAGCCTTAGTAAGAGTGGCCGCTGATTCCTAGTCTAGGCCACTAGACGTCTTGCCGTTTCTTTTCCATTCCAGTCCTGAGTCCTGGTGGCTGTAGTCTTCCATTCTGTATCCCCGAGTCTTCTCTAGGTGCACAATGGGACTTCAACCAGCTGAGTCCGAAAGTGTACCTTGGCGTAATGTTCTTCGAATTTAACCCAAAGAGTTGTAGCCGAATACTTGATTGACGAGAGGCAGGACAGCGCGCGCTGAAGTCGAAGCAGCTTAGATGGGACAGGGACAATTCCCGAATATGGCAGCAGATCGTGCCACATAGGTGATAATTCGGCTGGCGGACAACACCTGAGCGCTCATGAGTATACCTGGCCAATGGACAAAGAAATGATTGTTCCTTCTATTGCATGCCCCAGGCGCACCGCCTGTGTGCTGGGCGCAGTGCTTAGGCCAATAGCCCATGGATAGCCCTTCCGTACCCGCAGTCTTGGGTACTTAGTCCTATTTTCATCATCATTATATAACCCTCTTGCCTGTATTGCCCACACCTTCAGTCTCCGGTCCCGAATTTCTCAAGATCAAACCCAGGGAAGGGCAAGTTTAACTCAGGGATCACTCGGCCAAAACACGCAGGGACTTCAGTTTGGACATGAGAGCACTGTTTTCTATGCGGAGGTTTATCACGTTGCCAGCTGTGACAAGCTGGGCAGGAGGGGTTGAAACTGAGGGCCAAGAGCCCTGCAGCTACCGAATAGAGGTAAAGCAAAATCGGACCGAAGAAAGTTATACGCTGTTGACTAGGTTTGTTTAGCTGTGCAGAAGACTATGTTATCCATGCTGCGTCGTAAGTTCTACAAGCTTGGCACAACAGTCCGTCCCTGTCTATTGGTCGACCGATAGTGTATTCCAGTTTTCGATCATGTCAATGCTATTCATTGGCCAACCTCTGCCTGCATGAGCTCCAATTAGGAAGTGTAGCTGTAATCGTGCAGTGGCACAGTGCTGTCGATTGGGATTCCCCGCATTCTGTCGAGGTGAAGGAAGTAGGACAGAAACAGGCGAAGTATGGAAGATTCATTAGGAAAACTTGCGAATATAACGGAAGTGGCTGTATGCAAAGCCACTGCTCGATCGCTGCAGCCGTCCAACGACACATAGGTTGCCTGTACGTGATGGAAGACAATAAAGTAGCGCGCGGGGCCGGCGAAGATGTCTACTTATTAGAGCGCCATGCGAAGGAGGTCGAGCGGCTCTCAGCGCAGCACGAGTTCTTCAAAACTCATACAGAGCACCACCTTCTATCGCCTAAGCTCTTGGCCGGAAACAGACCCCTAAAACTGCTCGACTCTGGGTGCGCAGATGGTAAGCAGGCAATGTCACCTACCGAAGAGTTTGCTCACCTTTACAGGACACTGGCTGCGAGACCTGCGAAAACAGATACCGGATCGGCAGATGGAGCTACATGGTATCGACATTGCACCCGCTCTGTTCCCTCCTCAACCAGCGCAGGCGGCATCGGGTATCGAGCTCCGTGCCCACAATGTGACGCAGCCTTTTCCAGCTTCATGGGCCTGGAAGAACTCATTCGACATCATCCATCAGCGTCTCCTCGTCTGGGGCGTGCCCGTCTCCAAATGGCCTGCGATGATGCAACATCATCTGGATATACTCAAGCCTGGCGGCTATATGCAACTGGTCGAGGTCGAATGGGTGCCCCAGGGTCCTATTCCAGACTCGAACCCACAGCTGCAGAAACAGGTCAAGATGCAAAGGTTCTTCTCGGGCCAGTTCGGGATGGATATCGACTTGGCGTACCGACTGGAAGACGTCTTACGCGAAGCCGGCTTGGAGGATGTCCAGAAGATTCAATTTGACCACGGATACGGGGCATCGGCCAAAGATCCGCAGATGCGAGAGATAAGTTCGATCATCAGCACCGAGGTCTTTCGAGGGCTGGACGTCAAAATTGGAGATGGAATACCCGGGGTGGCCACGAACTCGGATGAATTCCATGCATTCCTCGATGCGCTGAGAGACGAGGTCAGGTCCGTTGGGTATAACACCAAGATCAACTTTGTGTCTGGCAGGAAACCGGCCCCACAGACCCAGTGAGATCAGCCCTCGAGAAGATAAGGGGCAAGAGGGGGAATACACGGCATGGACATCGAGACGAGCATGCATGGATTGTTGAAATGAGTTTTGGCCGTAAGAGGGTCCCGGTATCGTCTTCTGATTAGCACTGGCACTGGCCATCTGGATGAGACATCATTTGCCAACAGCCTCGTCGTCTAAGTCCGGTCCTGGGTAGGCAGACAGAAGTGAGCCGCTACATGCGAAGCTGCAATGCCCAAGTATCTGTCTGAGTGATATGCACGCATGAACGATGCCCGGCCATGTAAAGTGACTGTACGCTCGGATGAACCAAGAGCTCGGGCCAACAGATCCCAGCCGCTCACCTGCCGCTCACCTGCCGCTGCCAAGGATACAGGTCAAACTAGCCTCTACCGGCGCTCTGTAGTAGAAAACCCGCAGGGGCCTTGGCCTTGGCCTTGTTATGTCAGGAGTGGCTGAAAGCCCAGGGACCTTTCTCAACAGAACGCCTCCAGTGAAATGACCAGCAATTTGGCAGTATCGTCAGATGACAGACATCTTTCTGAGGTTCACGGGACTCGACTGGCCAATAAAAGACGACCCCCCCCCATGGACTTTACATTTTTATCCTCCCTGGGGCCCGCAAGACAGCTGCAACAATGTGGCTTTCGAGCGATCAGCGGCACATCTCCCTGAGAGCAATTACGCTACTTGCCCTCGTGGTCGCAATTAGCGGCCACGCGAATGGCAGCCAAACCGATTCGAATTGGCCAACAAACCACGATCCCACAATAACGACGCCGAAGACCCCCCCGCCGCCGACCACAGCGCAGCCAACTTGCGAATCGAGGACGGTGAACTACATTACACACACGCTGCCGCAGCAATGCCTCGCTTCGTCGCCCCCCACGACACCGACAGGGGACAGCGCCCCCGTTTCCCGCACCCCCTTGACTACTGCCCAACCTCCCGCCCAACCCAGCGCTGAGGCTGCGGCCGCACCCCAGCAGGAGGAGGAGGAGGAGGAGGAGCACGAGCTGGACAGCGATGGAAACGATCTGAGCACCGGGGCATTCATGTCCTTCGAGGAGTGGAAGGAGATGATGCTCAAGAAATCTGGCCAGGAGGCGCTGGAAGCCCGCCCTCGTAAAGACGGCCGCGGCGAAGCTTACCCGGGTGGGGACTTCGACACGCTGGGCGAAGAGGGTGAGATCGCACTGGACTTTGATGCCTATTCAGACAAGATATCCGAGATTGCATCGGCCGGCAAGCCCACAAGGCGGGATCGGGAGAAGAAGGAGGAGGTAGTGGAGAAAGTTTCGTACGACGAAGGGCTGGCCCAGATCTACAGGAGCAAGGACGCGGGCAAGACGTGCAAGGAGAGGTTCTCGTACTCGTCGTTTGACGCAGGTGCTACCGTCCTGAAGACTAGCCACGGGGCTAAGAACCCCAAGGCCATTCTGGCCGAGAACAAGGACTCGTACATGTTGCTCGAGTGTTCAATGGAGAACAAATTCTTCATCGTGGAGCTGAGTGATGACATCCTGGTTGACACAGTGGTCTTGGCCAACTTTGAATTCTTCTCTAGTATGATACGGCAGTTCCGGGTCAGTGTCAGTGATCGGTATCCCGTCAAACTGGAGAAGTGGAAAATCCTAGGGGAATTCCAAGCTCGGAATTCACGAGACATCCAACCATTCTTGGTCGAGAACCCTCAGATTTGGGCCAGATACCTGCGCATCGAGGTCTTGAGCCACTACGGAAACGAGTACTACTGCCCTCTGTCTTTACTGCGGGTCCACGGAACGCGCATGCTTGATTCGTGGAAGGAGGCCGACCCGAGCGAGATCGAGGGCGATTCGGAGGCAGAGGACGAGACTAACAAAGCTGTGCCCGAACAACCCCAGGAAATAGTCGAGCCCACTGAGGCCGTCGTCGTCGAGGAGGCTGAGGTTTCGCGACCTGCTCAAGTTGAGAACCATACCGCCGCAGCGGAACAAAGCGACTTCATTGCTTATTGGGACAAGTCCTACTTCGAGCGCATGTACCAGCCTCGGTCTACTTGTGGCCCAGCAGAATCCCCAGCAGAACCCTCACGCACCTATCCAAGGGTGGAAGAAGGTTCCGAGGTGCCGGCGAAACAGCAGCAGAGGGAAGCATGGGAACAAACAACCCACGCTACTAATGCCAGTTTTTCATTTCAATCATCTGCTGAAGACCTCGCAACGGAGTTCGCCCGCTCGGTTTCTTCCATGTCCTCCAGCTCTAACGCTGAAAACGCGACTGATATAGCTGCGAACTCCGCTTCATCCGTAGCATCAGAGCCATCCCGTCTCACTCCATCACCCGGCTCGAGCACCTTCGTGCCACCCGTCGCCGTGAAATCCTCTAACATGGCTTCGTATAGAAATAAAACCTCCGCTTCGACCTCCATCAAACCTCCTTCCTCTAAACTCTCCATCTCGAAGCCAGCGTCGGGCGCCGCGTCCCAGACGGCCTCGCGCAACAGAACAAGCACACCAACCACCTCCGTCTCTGCATCCCCCACAGTCCAAGACTCGTTCTTCAAGCAACTCACCAAGCGCTTGCAAACGCTCGAGTCCAACACGACCCTTTCCCTGCAATACATTGAGTCGCAGTCTAAATTTTTGCAAGAAGCGCTCTCCAAACTCGAGCGTCGCCAGGTCGCAAAAGTCGACCTCTTTCTCGACACGCTCAATAAGACCGTACTCTCAGAGCTCCGTGACGTCCGCACCCAGTACGACCAGATCTGGCAAAGCACCGTCATCGCCCTGGAAACCCAGCGCGAGCAAAGCGAGCGTGAACTTGTGGCCCTGTCCGCCCGTCTGGGGGTCCTAGCCGACGAGGTTGTATTCCAGAAGCGCATGGCCATCGTACAGAGCATACTGCTCCTCGGGTGTCTAGTACTCGTCATTTTCTCGCGCACGGGCATAGCAGGCGCGGGCATGGAAGCGCTGTACTACCCGTCCCAATTCCTCGGCTCGAGCAGTAGGATGGCCAGCCCCCTGTACCCAAGCACGCCGAAAGCCCTAGGCAAACTGGGCATCGGACTCGGGCAAGTCCAGCGGACCTCGACCTCGCTGCGCAAATCCATCGAGCGCTCCGGCGACGTAGACGGCAACTCGGACCGGGAAATGAGTATAGGCATCGGCATGGACCCCAACAGCCCAGCATCAAACCGCATCCCCGAAGAGCGTAGTCCCACCCTCGAATCGGCGGCTGCACCGCGTCGCTCAACAACACCCCATACCCTCCCGCGAGACAGCGAGCCCCGGAGGCGGCGCCCGTCGCCCAGCGTACGGGCCGTTTCCGAGTCCGATTACTACCAACCGCCTACTCCATCAAGTCTGGATATTGGTTACGATTCTGAGCCTGCCATGGAGACACATCCGGATTACTTCGCGCCCCAGGTTCGCCAGGATCGGGAAGATTCAGAGCGCGACAGGGGGGGTGAAGAACAGACGGATAGGGATACGGATGATGAGGACACGAAGTACACAGATATTTCGGCCCAGGACGCAGAACGGCAGTCAACGACGTCGTCGGAGGGCACTGGGGTAGAATACAGTTCTCGCCGTGCGGCGAGGGCGTCCATGTCCAGTGTGGGCTCGACGAGAAAACCTCTGCCTGCTTTGCCCGAGGACCCCGATCCTGAGTGATGCAAGGTTAGTAGTAATGAGTTGACGAATGAATACGAAGAATTGGAATACCCAAGATGGAACGGTTATTTTATAGTGTCGATGGTTACATAATGCACTGGTGCGAAATCATGATACGAAATGGGACACGGTCACATCACATATATCAAAAACTTGAAGACATAGTTATACTGCTTGTTTGCGATTCTTGACTCTAACTCAAAGCTCATCTCCAGTGAAGGTCCATCCAGCCCGTTCGCCTGGCCAATCTGGATGGCTGCCAGTGACAGCCAACTACCAACCGATCTATCGAGTGGACCACTTCACGCAGGGCTTGCTCAAATGGTGCGACGAACAGCGAACCCACTGGCCAAGTCCATCCTGGATCATCCACAAACACTTCTTCGTCCTGCTGAATCCGTGCATTGGGAGGGGTAGGTGCGCGCGGCCCTGTCCGAGTTATCCCCATTGCAACAGTACGGCCCGACCCGACAAACAGGCGCCCAACAAAGTCCCAACGAAACGCTGAAGGCAAAGTTTTTGCTGAAAGAGTTGGCTTCTGCCGCCCAGGTTTGTAGGCACTAGTAGACGACAGGCCTGTCGCTAAAAATACAGACTTAAAGAGAGGAAGTCTATCAGATAGGGGAACGGGAAGAGCAGTTTTCGGAGATGTCTCGTGTGATCTTTTTTTTCTTTTGTTTCTTTTCCTGGTTATAGTTGATCGACTCTGAGATCAGCTCGAAGCTTGCAAAAAGTGCAACTCCAAATCGTGTCTCTTCATACCTCGTATATGACGAAGCTCTCAAGCAAGATATGAGAATGTCGCAAGGGTGTCAACGTTGCCCCAAAATGCGCCCTCGGCGAAATCATCGCAAATTATGATTGTTGATGACAAAGGAAAGAAAGGAAATTGTGCAAATATGCAGACATGGTGGCTGCTGATATATACTTCTGAGGACCGCTAGGGACGCATAGAAGTACCAAGTCCATGATGATGGATGCAAACCCGTCCAATGGGCCTGGCCAGTCCGTTCCTCGATAGAGTGGGGTCGTGGCGAGAGTTGCAAGATGTGTAAGAATTAATCAGGTGCCACCAGGACCATCAAGGACAACAAGGGAAGGCTCTGAATTTCTCGCGGTGAGAATGATGTTTTGCTATCGCCGCTCTCATTGTAACCCTTCTTCTCGACTGGTAGGAGCGACTCGCATTTGGCTCATGGTCGTAGAAAGAACCTGGATCTACAAAAGTTAGCCAATTGTAAAGGGGTCGGCGGAAAATAGTCGACGTACTCACTGCATTCTTCATCGCTAGAAGTGTTGTGGCTCGCCCACGTTGGGTCTAATTGCGAAACCCTTGACTTGCGCGGCGTTTACTTCAGTACAATGGTTTGGTGCTGCGATGTGGCTCTCTAGCGCACCAGGATAGTAACCGTAATGCATGATGACGATGTCCCCGTGGTTCAAACTCAAGAAATAAGTCCATGAGCATGAAGTCCCGACAGAACATCTCTTTCGAGAATGTGCACGAGGAAGTCCGCTCGGCAATATTGGCAGAGGAGACGTTCATCGCCATGATGAATGACCAGTCTTTCCGCCTTCCAAATTGTGTACGATGAGATGTGAACAGGCTTGTTTTTAGGGGCCTTGAGTGGAGAAGGGACTAGGAGATGCACCGCAGGGGGAGGGGGTGCATGTGCCTGCAAAGAGCATTCAAATTCGACCAACGTTGCCATAATGAACGGCTTCATCAGGTTTCTTCGGGTCAATATGTTCCTCGTCTGAGTCGCTTCAAACCAGGGATATAATTTCCCGAGCTGAGGCCCCATGACTTCCAGTCTAGATCTGCCGCTCGTAAAATTGTACAGCAGAGGCGTGGAAATGCGGTTGGGCTGCTTGGGAACGAGGTACATACTGGTCAATGACTAGTAAACGGTTCTCCTCAGACAGTCTCCATGTTGACGTTGACTATTGCCAAGTGCAATTGAGCTTTTTCTTCCTTGTTGGGATGATCAACAAGTTTACCAGTTGGTGAACGCAGGCCGCTGTGAGCTTCTTTTTGGAAGTGATGGTACTGTGAAACGCGTTCTGGTCATCAAACTCCAAAATTATGGACATACCATTGGGTGCTTCACTCGTGAGCAGGTCAGAGTCACTGAATCCCAAATTGCCTGCTTCATAACTGTATGATAAGCTGCCACAATGAAGTGCTGATAGCGCTTAAGTTGTGGAAAGAACAGAACCCGCATATTTGTAGTCTCAGTCCTTCTAGTCAGGAATATGTATCCCACAGCAAAGTGGAAAGGCTTGACGGTGGTGATGTCAAATAAGATGATCAGTGACAGATTCAGAGCGCCTGAAAAAGTCGCGAGAGTTGACATTTCGAAGATGTTCTCCGAGATTGACGATAGGCTCGGCCTGATCTAGAATAGGCTGGATTTGTCAGTGATAGATTCAAACACACGAGCAACGGCAAATCTCACTTGAAGTTTGTGTCCACGATAGAAGACTGAGTCAAACATTGGTCGAAGGTGACGCAAGAGCATCTGAAGCTCGATTTTATGAGGACAGACACTTATTGTTCATGTCAGGGGAGTGGGTGGTGGTGTAGCTCCCTTAAGTGAAGGATCTACTAAAGTTGTAGAGAATCGTCCCATAATTTTCAGGTAGTATCGATGGACGAGGAAAGGGATCACCATCAAATTCGTAGACGGTGACATACATGTGAGGGTTGATGCCATATTGTTTCCCAGCATCAACCTGCCTCTCACCTCGAACTTGAGTCGACTTCCATGGTTGTCTTTGCCACTGAATTCAGAGTGTCACCATCGTGATTCCGTGTATTGCACCGCGTAATTCTTTGTGCGGTCGGCGAATCTGATGCCCGCGGGCAAGGCTATATAGACTTGATGAGCTATTATCTGTTCAGATTCATACTTATGAGCAGTGACACTTACCAGGGTTGAGACTTTGACTTTGGCGTCAAAGAGATTAATCAAGTGGATAGATACTCCTGATGAGCCTCAGTAAAGTCTGAAACAGGCGACAGTGTATGTTGAGGCATCTGTCGCTGGCGCAAAACGGTAACTGTAATATTATGATATTAGGGTGAGAAGAAATCAAACACGCTGAATCTGCTTTGCAAGTCTATCGGAATGGAAGGAAACAAGGAAATCAGAAACGGCGTGTCAACTATGCGCTTCTGTGAGCTGTCATTGGAGATTGCGAAACGGCGTTATATGGCCAAGCAAGGCGATTTAAATATCAATTCTTGGCCTGGATGGGAAAAATGGGAGACGACATCGAAGAGGCGAACGAGTGGCGATTTATTGAGGGTGATTCTTCGGCCCCTGCCTCGTCTGCAAAGTGGCTGATGTGTCGTCGATGAAGTCCAAAAAAGAGAACGAAAAAGGGCCATGGTGAAATTTAAGCTGGATGATGAAAAGGGCAGTCATCCGTTGATAACTGAGCTCAACTTATCAGATAAGTGATTGACGTGATTGATAAGTTGGCTCGTAACTCCTCTGAAGAGGAGTTATTGTGGGGAGTAGGGGTGGTGTGGCCCACGCGGGGGGAAGGAGGAGTCATAGTCATACTCCTCCAGAGCCGCGAGCCTAGTTCCACGGTCGTACTGTGAGCGTCGACGTCGTTGCTCGTCCCGGAAGTGCTGTCCTGCGTTCGGGGTGAAGAGACCTGTTTTGAGCCCAGTGAGCAAGACTTCGATCCGAGCATGTGATGCTTGTACTCACCGACATGCTCTGCATTCTCGCAGCTTCGCTTCATCTTTGATTGGTTGTCGGGCTCGGGAAAAGGCTCTTCTTCTCCGGCGAACTGAGGGTTGGGCCCATTACTAGTGAAGTAGAGCTAGAAGTGATCAGTCCTGTGTACAAAAGCATATCAGGGGATACTCACCTTAGGTCGGTAGTGTGGCGCTTCTAGCATGACTGAGCTGTTGCGGAACTTTTGAACCAAGCAGTCTTTTCCCTGGATCGCTACAAAACTGTGAGTTGCAAGGCCAAGTTCAACCATGGGTGAAGACATACTAGCATAGGAGATCTCCGCAACCTTGTCGCTCTTGAAGCAATTCCAACGTTGGTTGCCTCGGGCGTTCACGAACTAGATAAGGGTCAGTGTATGCTGCCGCGTAATTTCAGCGTTTGACTTACGTCAATGATGTCCAGGGGCTGCAGACTCGTTAGCGATTTGAGTTGATCAGGAGGAATGAGGAACACTTACGTCAACAAAATTGATGAAGGCGTATCCGACACTATTATGGTTTGTCAGCATCGAATCTTTTGTGGGTATTTCTGTAAATTCGACTCACTTGCAATCATTGGCAAAGTCAATTCGGAGGTACATGAAGTCGTACTTGCCCCAACTTGATTCGTCAACGATTCTCTTCAGCATGGCTTGATCAACCTTGTTCGGAATGTTACGAAGCATAATCTAGACTCGTTAGCAGCTGGCTGGTTTCCAGGTTGACTATCGAAACCTACGGTCGTTCGCACATCGATCCCTTCGCGAATGCGGTCAACATCGACATGGTTGTGCTGGCTGGGTATGCTGTAATAGGGGGCTCTGGTGACTCGCATAGCATTCTGTCGGCGGCTATCAGGGCGAGGATACGCGAACTGTCGAGGTGTCATGTACTCAGGGCTCATCAGCGGCGATGGCTGAGAGTACATGGGGGTGACAATGGAATAATTGCCGCCCGGGAACATCCCATGGCTTCGAGTTGGCACCTGGTCAATCATGTACGGCGGCGTGAGTGGCATTCCCGAGTACACGACCGGCATCATGCCATAAGACTGCTGGAGCGGGAAGTTGCCTGGGTGGTATGCTCTTGTCGGTGTGCTGACCAAAGCGTTGTGGATTGATGATGCAGTAGATGCGGGCCTGGAACAAGACAGCCGCTGGAAATCATTGGTCAAGTCTGACATTGAGCCAGATGTCGTTGTTCGAGCTGGGCTGACGATTCCATCGTGGACGACGGTCGACATGGTCGGGATATCGGGACGATGAAGACTCATGCAGAATTGGATTCCCTTGTGATATTGTCAGCAAAACGACCACATGCAGTGCATTTGAGCAACTTACATCAATCACTGTTCCACTGAGCTTTGAAACAACCCGCAAGGAGATATCGTTGTCACAGTACTCGATGACAGCATTCAACAAGCTGCCCTCTACGCCACTGGCCTGCGCCTTAAAGGCAAACATGTCACCCTCAGCTTGGAGGACTCCCTGTACGAAGCCCTGAAGTTGATTCAAATCAATGGATTCCAGTGATGGGTGCGCGAACACCGCGAGGTTGAGTTGGCCTTCATGTGCTGTGATCAAACCCGATGTTGGATCAACAATCTGACGAAACTTGTTAGTTGTCCGTCTTTCTGGTGCAGTGTCAAATTCTCTTACCTGAGTGAATTCTCGAGGCGTGATGTAAGTGATTTCCCAATCCTGACCACCCAGGTGGACGTTCTGAGAGAAGAGGCAAGCATCTCGGATATTACCAAATCGAGCATAGGCCTTGTCACCACATACTTGGATATATCTGGATCCTTGGATTTGGAGGCCATTTTGCGACAGTTTCTATTATTCAATTAGCTTGGGAATGGAACAAACTAGCTGCAAATCTTACCGAGAAGTAGTACTCGATGTTGCCAGTCTGCACCTTCTGGCTGCGAATTGAGATGACTAGGCATCTTGAAAGACCAGCATCGGTGCTCAGGGTTGGGTGAACGAAAGAAGCGCTCAGCGCTCTGCTTTCCAAGGACTGGTCCGCCATTGATGATGAATTCGAAGCTTCTGTCTTTATACCAGCATTGATATCTGTGCTTGATCCTCGGGCAATGGAAGATAAGGTGAATGGTGAGAAGCAAGAAGCAGTAGGTGATAACTTCTGGGCTGATCTGGCTGCTAGTCCCGTGGAACTGACAAAGGGATCTTTTTCCAAGTGGAGGTTTGTCCGGTAGAATGACTTGGATTTGGAAAGATCTAAAGAAGCTGGGGAAGTCACGGGGAACTTGATGGGGCCAGCGTCCCGACCAAGTGAATGGGGCATGCGCGCGGATTTGGCAGAGCCATCCTCTGGAGAGAATGCTGTCAGGCGCGTATCAGGGGTACCCTTGAAGGAATCTGCTGCTCCGCTGGATGAGCGAGGAGAAGCTGGGTTGAAAGCCCCGTCGCGACTCTGAGGTATGGCCATGTTTGCCATGAAGGACAAACCCAGATACTTGAAAGATATGTGGTGGCAATATCAAACAAAGACCTTTTGTTAAGAAGAAGCCTAAGTTGTGACAGAGATGCAGAAGATCGGCCTGGGGTAGTGCAAGCAGGGAACTGTTGCTGTTGTCTTATCAGGGAAAGAAGTCAAAGATGTATTTTGTGAATTGGAGAAAGCTTGGGACAAAAGCTGACCTTGTTTTAAGAGGAAGGCACACCACGAAATGAATAGGAGGAAACCTGTAATGGGACAGAGATGCGGAAGGTCGTCGTTCGGTGATGCAAGCAGAGAATCTTTGCTGTTGTTCTGTTAGAAGGAGAAGCCAAACATTTGTTTTGTGAACAGAGGAAGCTTGGACAAAATCTGACCTTGTTGTAAGAGGAAGGAGCGGTGTTCAGATGTTAAGGCAGGAGTGATAGCTTGTTTCTGAGACTTGCGGGAAATCTTTGGAGTAGATCGATGTGTATTTTGAATTCCGAAGAGCCTCGTGTTGAACTCCTGGAAGTGCTCTTCAGATCAATAACTCTGGAGTCATAGAATCATAGAAATGCCCCTGTTATCTCTGACACTCTGTGTGCTGTCGGTGCTTCAACTTTTGCCAATGACTGTACGGTAGTTGAAAGGCCCGGTTGTTTATTTGGTTGCTCGTCAGGTGTAGATGACGGTTAAGAGGGTTTATCTGTTGCGTAGTGGTTGACCGAGTTGTGCTGAAGAGTACCAGGGTGGAGACTGGGCAAAACGAGTTGTTGGAGAAACACCAAGTGAAAGAAGATAGACCTAGATTTTTGATGTTAATGAAAGAGATGCATAATGTTGAACGTAAATTGTGAAGTGAATTTGGGTCATCATCTGATGAGAGTCACGGAGAGCATTCAGGGGTAAATGCATTCTGAATGGGGAACTGAAACCATCCACCAACCAATCAGGGAATTAATTGCGCTTCTGACAGCAACCACAGGCTAGTGGTTTTGAACTTGTAAGAAGGTAATTGACTCCCCAAGGGGTAAGAGCTAGAACCAGTTGCCACATAGCATCCTGGAGTGGGACTCGTTAAATCAAAACGAATGCTCTTGAATCAGCCTCCAGTTCAGCAACTTTCATGATCAACAAGACACTTGTCCACCCATAGCTGAAGCACTCGCATAAATGTTAAAATATTTTCGTAACTACCCCGGCTTACGAGAGTAAGACATGCCGTCAAAAACCATTGCCGACAATATCTGTGGGACATGCTGACAGAAATCCTTGGTAACACTGTCATCTAGACCAGCAGCAAGGTCCCTTCACTAACGAGTGAAGGCAGACTCCTTTGAAGTGATCCAGGATATCAGAAAGCCAGGTATCTCTAGCATAGAGGCATTGAACAACCATATGTGCAAGATCACCCGTACATCAACTTGAGTGACAAAGCGATGAGGCCTTGAACCAAGAGCCAGGATAAAGGTAGTGATTCAAGAAAATTTTCAGTGCTTACCAAATACTGGTTGATCTGACCGTTGAGTAAATTTTCAGAGGTTGAACGCTTCCTCAGAATTGCGGACGAGGGGTATTGCTGGCAATGATGCCAGTGAGGGTGACTCGAATGGTGCTTGATGATTCTGAGCATTATTTGGATCAGCAAAAGCAAAATCATCCTGTGGGCCGCAATTTCATTTAAGTATGCGGAGATCTGTCTGGGATGAGGATGGGAATAGCTGACATCAAAACCGTTGACCAGATATAGCCTGCTTTGTTGACTGTCGTTCTGGACAGTTAGGATGTCATTGCCAATCACTGCCGGAGTGGCCAATGTCGGGGAAAAGGCTAAGAGGTTGTTGCCAACTACAGGAGCCTCAAGAGAATGTTGTCAAGGTCCAAAGGCTCCAAGGACAAAATTTGAGGGTGAGGGTCGACGGTGAGGATTGAGGTGTTGAGAGAATCTTCCTGAGGTTGAGAAGAGGCAAGTTAGTAAAAAAAAAGAACAAGGTGAAAATTCTTTTGCTTGGACTGAGATCTGGTGCGCACAAAGTCCCCCAAGCTAAGTATACGGGAAGCTACAGCCAGACAGACCTACAACTTCTTTGGAAGGTGCTCTGTCAGGCAATTGAGTGGAAACCCGCTCACCAGGGACTGGGACAAGGCACCAAAGCATAAGCATAAATATTACCTGGCATATACCTCCAAATAGATAAAAAATGACAAATTTATTTGCATCAACATACTTTAGAAAGTCCCTCATCATTCACAGATAGAACTCTTAACAAGACAAAAAGGGAAGCGTGGTTGCTGACCGAACTCGTGATTCACTCAACTGTGACTGGGAAGGCACAATGCCAATATAGCCCCACCGACACATCAAACTGGAACAACAAAGCCCCACGAAATACAGTCAAATGACCAAGACGTGAGGAATATTGGACGAAAGCTTTGTTCAAGAGCTTCTCATGTTGACCTGCCTTGGAGTCAAGAGAGTGTGATATATGGAAATGAGGACGTTTAATGACTTAGTAGCTCTACTGATTGAGGTATCATTACATGGTCAGGACACAAATTCCCTAGTTGTTCCAATCAGGCCTCCCATACCTGTAAGTGGAAGGAACTATCTGTATCAGAAGCATCGTGAAATCATTGGATGCTTCTATCTTTGGTCAAGCAGCTCACTCATACGAGTCTAGTTTCAAACAACGCAGGAACCACAACAATTCCTAGCGGCTGGGACTCCGGCCATCGCAGCTTTATATGACTGTTGCTTACTTAATCGGAACCTTGAGAGCTTTGGCCTGTTTTAATCGTGACAAGAACAGCTGCTAAAGTTACGACACAATCTACCTTGAGCATACATCTTTACTGGGACCTCTACAACAGAGTCTGTTCTTAAAATCTCGACGGTTCATTTCTCCAATTCATAAATGGTTCTGAATGAAGACGGTGTTTCTGGTTGCCATCAAAAATGGAAAGATTATTTGAAGTCATCAGGAATTCAACATGCCAAGCTGCCCTTATCTAGTGTCACAATTCTCTATGGATGCAAATACAAGCAGGAGCTTGCGGATTGAGGGGCGTACAAATGGCTAAAAAGCTTGGATAAAGTGGTTGAGTCTTCAGGTGTTGAGTGTATTGATTTCATGCCATTGCCAGGAGGCAGAACAGACACAAAAGGTCCCGTGATCACCTGTTTGGTGAAAACCAAGTTTCACATGGGGGAATAATCATGGTAACTGCTCCTAAAAAGGCTGAACAAATGTACATCTTGTTATAGGTGTTAGTCCAGCCATTAGGGCACGGTTTGACATACGGGAGTACTAGTAGAGGTACCGGGGGCTTCGAGCCTACGGCGTATTTAATAATAATAATAATGTTATAGGTGTCTGGGGCAGGCTACAGGGGTGGTTTCAGACATTCCAGGCCAAACCAGCATCAGCATATAAATAAAAGCTGGGTTGCAGCATATTTGGATGGAACCTAATACTGTCGGATCTAGGCTTAGTTACTCTCTTAGCTACTTACATGAATATCGATATGCAAGATCGAACCAGCTGGTCAACTACGACTAATTGTAGTGTATTGAAGTTTCTTTGATCTAAGAGTTCATCAGGATTGTGGTACCAACATTGGGATACTGACCATCAAGCTCAAGACTATTATGGTTGGCTATTAGCCACTCGCCATGCAGGTCAGCCTCTATTTCTGGAGTGACAACCTCAGCATCAACACACCAATCTATCTCTACCAGGATGACTGCACATTGCCGGCGGGATTATTGTTTGTTCAGCGATTACAGCAACATTGAATTGCCATTCAGGTAAGTCTCTGTGATGATGGGGCTTGTTACGGAGAAGTATATGAGGTAATTGCAAACATGTTTACCATAGGGCTCATCCCAACAATACTCTATGCTATTGAGGTTTTGGTTGTCAAGAGGTGCCTGTTGATGGATGATGCAACGCTCAACGATGGGAATCGAATTCCCCAAGAAAGCCTGTCTACCATCGAAAACTAAAATTTTCATACGCTCGCAATAACTGTGATGGGTAAGTCTTGCCCCTCAAGCTCCCAGAACAGCATACAACCAGCGATGTTCCTGACCACTTGGGTACATAACAATTCCGAGTGTCTTTAAGCACCTCATGCCTTTGCGTCCACTGGCTATTAGCGTGCAGTTTTCAACAAGGGTTGAGTGGGGGCCGAAGAACCAAGCACGGAGCTGACACTGCAGTGACATCCATGGATGCAGAAGAGCTCTTCGTTGCATCGAATTCTTGACCCCAAGGGTTCAAACATGCCAGGCTCTGTGAGACCTGGAGAATTAATAGGAACAGTTTGATGTCATGTCATTTGACGTGGAGGTATGGCGTTCCGTTTTTGGTTCTAACAACAGTTGAGTGGACAGTTGAGTAAAATCCTGTGCCAAATAATAAGGTTCTGAGGCAACTTCCACAATACATGACTACGACTCTACCAGTTTGAGGCGGCATCAACGTGGATGCGAACGCACGGGCCGCTGGAACGAACCAAGCATGACAGGATGACCGTGCAGCCCCCTGTTTACCTGTAGTGGGTCTATATGGGGTTGCAGTGTGGAGGCACTTGCAACTCAAACATCCAACATCAGCCTTGCAGGACATCTTGAAACGTACTTCACTAATCTTGGTACTTGCTTCTACCTCATACAATACTTGTCCATGTTCGACTGGCGATTGATACGATGATTCATTGCTGAAAAGTCTGCGCAAACTTCGTTAGCCAGCTATCCAAGCTGTCCAGACCGTCCCCGATTTCCTGTCCATCTCATAAGGCTTGAGCTTCTCCGACTCGACCCAACCCACGGAGCAAAGATGGCACCACGAAGGGCGCAAAACTACGATGACTACGGCTCTGCGGTTCAGCAAATTATTCTGTCCGGATCCGACGCTGACTTTCTCGATCATTTGATCCCAGTTCTCAAAGATGCCACGGCCACCAAGCGGGCTACCATGCTCACACAGAACCTGTCCCAATACGCAGAAGATCGAGAGGTCGAGATCGAGAGGATAGGATTGACGAAACATGAGGAATTTCTGGGATCAGTCAATCAACTTCAACATGTCAGGGAAGGGACGGTTGCTTTGACGACCGAGATCTTGAAGCTCAATCAATCCATACAGGCCAGCACCGAGAAGCTCGCAGAGCAGAAGCAGGCACTAGTGAACACGAGAGCCGTTCGCGAAAACATATCAGACGTCTCGGATGCCCTGAAGGAGTCGCTCAAGATATTGCATGCAGTGAACAATGCCCACGAGCTGATCCGGAGGAAGAAGTATTACGGCGCCTTAAAGTCGCTGGACGACATGCAGAACGAGTTCCTGATTCCGACGTTACAGAACAAGTATGCGACTCAGCATAAACTGGCCGACCTCATCCAGAAGTCAATACCCTCGTCGCAGAAGACCATCTCCGAGGCAGTCATGTCAGATCTTAATACCTGGCTCTTCCGGATTAGAGAGACGTCTCAATTTCTAGGCGAAGTTGCCTTTTACCACACCGAAATGCGCCGGGCAAAACAAAGAGAGCGGGTTGAGAAGGACGAATTTCTGAATCATTTCAAGCTCAACTCGGCAATTGAACTAGTCTTTGACGAGAAGGAAGAGTTTGATGTGCTTGACAACGAAGAGGTCCAGGTAGACTTCACACCACTTTTCGAAGCGCTACATATCCATGATGCCCTCGGACAAACTGAAAAGTTCCGTAATGATTATGCTGCCACCCGAAGACAACAAAAGGAGCTCCTGATTCCGACCATGGTCAGCCTCACGACTGACGATGATACATCCTTGAGTAGTCTTCTCGAAGGTATCGCTGGGTTTGCCATAATCGAGAAAGCCACAATGAGGAGGGCCCCCCAGCTCCGTTCTTCTGTTGACGTGAGCCTATTCTATGAAAATGCGACCTCGATCCTTGAGCAAGCTAACTGACAACCGCAGGTTGAGGAATTGTGGGACTCCATGTGCTCTGCTGCTATCTCTTTGACAACCAAGGCCCTAGGCGAAGTCAGCAATGCTGAAATATTGCTGAAAATAAAAGGGGTGATTGCACTGTTCATCCAGACTATGGAGGTGAGAATGGTGAAACCATCTAGGCAAAGCATCTTCTAACATTCAATAGGGATGGGGATACTCAGTTTCAAGACTCGACGAGTTCTTGGTCGAATTGTTTGATAAATACGCTGAGCTTCTCAAGCGAAGATTCAGCGAAGATTTCCAGGAGATAGTCTCGACTGACGATTACATGCCCATGGCCATCAACTCCAAGGAAGAGTACGAGAAGGTGGTCAACGTCAGTTGGTTCTCACAGGACATGGACATCAACGAGCTCAAGTTCCCTTGCGTGCTGCCGTTCTCCCAGATGTATCCACTATGTTGCATCGACATCCGCAACTTCCTCAACCAGTTTTACTTCTTTTCTGATGACCACTTTCAACATCCGACCAAGATTGACGAGACTCTGCGGAAAGTATGGTTTTCGGCCAAGTTTATGGGGGAAATTGCTAACTCCCGTTCCAGTCCCTCGACGAACTGTTGACAGAGAAAGTCTGCAAATCTCTGGTCGAAAGATTGAGCTCCCAGTATCTGGGTCAAATAGTACAGATCCTGATCAATCTGGAACACTTCGAGACGGCATGCCAAGAACTCGAACAACTGCTGATCCGCGCACGTTCATCTTCCTCTGCAGGCGGGCTTCTGACCCTCGCAGCCACCGAACAATTCCGGGAGAACAAGAAAACAGCTGAAAAGCGCATCTTCGAGCTAGTCAACTCCAAGATTGACGACCTAGTCGAGACGGCCGAGTACGACTGGACGGCCTACAACACGCCCTCTGAGCCAAGCAACTACATGCAGACCCTCACCCGCTACCTCTCTAACATCATGAACTCGACGCTGCTGGGCCTGCCCCGCGAGATCAAAGAGCTCATATACTTCGACGCGCTATCCCATGCCGCCAACAAAGTGCTCGCCCTGCCTCTGTCCAATGACGTCAAGAAGATCAACCCAAATGGCGTTTCGGCCTTAGCCAAAGATGTGCAGCACTTAACGGACTTTGTCGACGGGCTCGAGAATGGATTCATGCTCAGAAGCAATCTGGATGAGCTGGAGCAAACGATACAGCTTTTGCAGAGCGAAAATACGGACGAGTTCTTCGATATTTCGACCAGGAACAAGAAGTATGGCCGGGTGCATGCTATGAATGGGCCCATCCTCTTGGAAAAGTACGTTACCCTATAAATTGGCCTATGGATCCCGGATCCCAATAACTAATGTTGTAAACAGACTCACGCAACAAATCTCTGGCCCTGGTGTGGCAGCCCAACGCTTTGCCAATTTCTCATCAGGTCTGCGCTTCGGTACCAAATGATTAGCAGACACACTTTCTGGTTACCCATTTGGAACAAAAACATTACGGTCTACAGTGTTTCTCAGCTTGAGATGCACAGGTGTACGATTGCATTTAATTTTTTACTCGGAAACCTAATAATGTCCTCGGCCAAGGGGCAACAACGAAAACAACATACAGGCTGTGCTATGGTGTATTTACGCCGACCTGGCAAGTATGTGGAAACCCTGAACCTGCCTACAACACCAAACCCTCGCAAGAAAACGACAATGAAAAGTTGCCACGTCCCGAAAAGGCC